CCTGCACCTATCTCCTTGACAGCTGGCAGGCTTCGTGGCCACAGCAGGGTCTAGCAGGCCTGCAGCTTTCACCCTGCTGTGCCTTAACACACACACAGTGTCACCTGTCACGAGTTCTGCTTGTCCTCAGCTTGAGGTACAGTTTCCCCAAAACCCCTGCACCTATCTCCTTGAAAGCTGGCAGACTTTATGGGCAGTTTTGACCCTGCTGTGGCTTAACACATACATGTGACATGAGTTTTGGTTTCAAGACTTTGAGGTTCAGTTTCCCTGAATCCCCTATACCTATCTCCTTGAACCTTGGCAGGCGTCATGCCCACAGAAGGGGCTACCATTCCTGCAAGTTTCATCTAAATCAGGCCAGAAATGACAATGTTTTAGGCTGTTTCAGGCTTCCCCATTATAGCTTATAGGTGAAACGTTGAAACAGCGTTGAAACATCGAAACTGTTTCAACAACATGAAACGGAACAGTGGTTTCGAGTCGAAACGAAATTTGAAACCAAATGCTGTTCCGTTGAAATGTCAAAACACAAGTCGAAATGGAACGGTGCCATACACACCACACTTCATATAGAATTAAAGTGTAGTAAGACAATCTCTAGCAAAAACCCTACTGCTGCAGTTTTTACTTAGGTAAAATTCCTGCTAATTCCAATGGGATTTTAAGACAGGCCCTTCATAAATTTATAAACGGTATTGAGTGGATCCTAGAAAGCTGTTGGGTCAGCAAAAGAAAACTGTTAAACTCATACTTAAAATGAAAAGTGATTATTGTTTATTATTGGCATCTGTGGGATTAGTCTCCCACAGAAAGCTAAACTCGTGCATAAATGCTTTGCTGGGTCATGGACAGAGTTCTCAGCTTTTTAAACCTGACCCTGTGATCCTTCCTTACACAAGTAAGACTTCATTTGAAGGCAGTGTCATCTAGTGTCATATCACATCTATTGTGAACCAAATATAGTTTAATGCATTCTGATCATTTTTCTGGATGTGCTGAAACTGTAATGAGTCATCTGCTTAATTCTTGGTATTTTATAAACTTCTAATAAGCTACACAGACCTAATTTTTTCAGGTTTTTATTTCCGTTTAGGAGGCTTATAACATCTCTTTGTGAAACTTTTTTTTTTTTTTGTTGTGTTTTTATACTTTTTAGTCCTCTATACTTTGAAATCATTTACAATAACATCACACTCTTTTTTTTCTTTTTATTAAATTTACCGCTTTATTTCCTTTGCTTAGTTTCAGATCTTGTTGTCACCAATGGAAGTGATGAAATCCCAGTTATTTGTTTGATTTGTTTTACTGATTGTTACAGTTCCTCTTTAACATGTTTGAAATCAGGCTAAACGAAGGCCTAGAAGGCATGCAGCAGAGAACAATCTACAATATTTATAGACCACCTGCCATCTTGGTATCTACCTGGACAACGTTGCACTGCCAAGATTGTCCTGTTAGAGCTTTTCCATCTCTAATCTCTAAAAGTCTATAATATCAATAAATGATGCTGATAACCATTGTGCTTAGTTGGATGCACTCTACCCATAACAGGTGATAAAAAAACGCTTTTGATGTTTAACTGAATTCCATTTTTGTCTCAAACTAACTTTCTATCATTTTGAAGGAAGAAATGTTTACATATATTTTAGTATCTTGAACCCTCTGTTTAGTACATTGGCAATCCATTAATGGTAGAGTTTTTTTCTCCCTCCTCAACAGGATATAAAAGAAGGTTAAAAATGGATCTTTTAGAGTTCAATACAAGAAATCCCTTTAATCTTTCTGGGCTCCTCCCCCCCATGTTATCTTTTTTTCATTTCTACTTTTCACTGCAGTCCTGTGTTTATGTTTTGGTTGATATTATTTGCAATTTGTCCTTCACCTCACACGTTATTGTTTCCTTCTGAAGGGATGTTTGGACACATTGACTTAAATGGGAGTAATTCTGTTGACTTCAGTGGGAGTTTGAGAGAGGCCAAGGAGCCACAATAATATTCTTAACCATATACAGAGATTTGTAACCATTTCATTGACTTCTTGGTGGTAATGGAACCGTTCATTGTCCAGCAAGATGAATTTGGTTTTCCAGACTTTTTTTTTATTTCTACAATCAGCTTTTATATTCTCTCTCATATGTTTTTATAGCTCTCCTTATCAACCTCTACAGCTCTGCTGAATTACTGAATTGATTAGATAGTACTGTCCTGATTAATAATATGTAAATTTCCTCAGTCACAGTGAACTCTCATATAATTAGAACAAATATTTATATTTCATATTAACCTTGGGGTGCAGAAAAATCATCAGACATTTTAGATACAGGCTTCTGTACATACATCTGTATATACAGTATGGGAAGCTGCCACAATTGCCAACTGTGTGCTTGACTATAAAAATGAATGTAATATTTTTATTAGTCATTTTTTTTCCTTTTGAAAATAAGCCACTTTTCTAAACACACAAGTAATATTTAAAAAGACATCCCACTTCCTCCCATCCCTAAATTGAACTGTATGTGTTTAATCCGTGAGACCTTGGTTACAGAAGATGACAGGATTACAACTAATTTGGGACACTGGTCAAGAGTGCTGTGTAATGGCAATAGCAAGCCTGCACATTTAGTTGTTACCTTACAGCAAATAATGAAATACATTCACATAAGGGCTTGTCAGCTGCACACATGGCAGTGCTAGAACCATGCAGGGAGAATTTAAAGCAGTAGCCCAGCCCACCCCCACACGCAGATGCAGTTGCTCTTAAAAACATCCTTATGCTGTCCTAGCTTATTTCAGTCCATAAAATAAGATAGACCAATAGAGACCAACCTTTTTGGCAAACATGCCACAATTTGGCCCCCCACCCTGCCTGAGTGCCACTTCCATCCCCTTCCCCTGCCAGGTTGGCTGCTCTATTCCCTGCCCTGTACCCCTTCCTAATCTGCTGCTCTGCTTTTTGCTCTCTTGCCCTGTGCTCACTGCCTGTTTTGCTGCTTTGTTCTTCTGATTGCACCCTATCTGGTGTTGTGTTGCCTTTCCCCTCCCTGGTCTGCCATAAGCCAAACACAAAGGTTGCCCATGTCACTTGTGAAAGGTTAGCCACTCCTGAGCTAAATAATCTGCACAATGGCTTTATGGCAAAAGAAAAATTAACTCCCCCCCAACCAATACCAATTTAACTTGTCCAATGCAGTCCAGACCTAACTCCACTGCTTTGACTGCTGGACTGAGTCTAGCCCTCTCTCTTGTATTTGGAGGGCAGCTGTACTGTGCAAGTGTACCTTGCTACAGAAAGGGCAGGTAGCTGTGAGCAGCTATAAAGGACCCCCTCTTCCCCTGCCTGATTTTTTTTTTTAATTTATGTCAGGTGTGTTTTTTTAAGCCTTTCTTGGAGGGTGCTGGGACTTAAAGCCAGCGGTTCCTAGCTAGAGGGTATTGCCCCTCTGCTCAGGGTCAGACTGATTTTTATATTTGGGGTCAGGAAGAAATTTTTCCTCAGGGTCAGATTGGTAGGGACTGGGGGGGAGTTTCTGCCTTCCTCTGTAGCAGGGGGCATGGCCCTGTACCTGGGATCTCTTGAGTGGTATATTACAACCTTTTCCAGCAGGAGCATATTGACTGCTGTGGTCCCCCTCCTTTACCTGTATAGGGTGTTGTGTTGTGTTGTGCTGTGCCAGGGTCAATGGTAGTTTTACGAAGACTGAAGGTTATGGGTGGCATAGCATGGTTTGACTAGGTCCGATCGTGCCTCAGGCCAGGGGTTGGGCTAGATCAGTGGTTCCCAATCTGTGGCACATGTACCACCAGTGGTACAGACAACCTGTGGTACCTGTTAACAGATTTATTAGGTTTTTTTAATTTAAATTTTCCGTATTCCAAGCCAAATTAGCCAAAACAAATTCCAAATCCCTGAGTCAGTCCAGAACCGTAAGTGGCCCTGCTACCAGCAAACATCCTCCACCCCCATGTGGGGCTTCAGATGTTTCCAAATCCTTTGTCAGATATCCTACTTGCAGGCCCAAGCCTGGAGGCTTGGGCTTTGGATGCCCCCAAGTTTTTCTTTTTTCTTTTAAAGAAATGTTTCATGTTCCAAACCAAATCAAGTCCAAATCCGTCAGTCCAGAACCATAAGTGACCCTACAACTGGCAAACATCCTCCATCCCCACCAGCGGCTTTAGATATTTCCAAAGTCTTTTGGCAGGTCACCCTACGTGCAGGCCCAAGCCTGGAGGCTTGGGGTTTGGATGCCCCTGAGTTTTGCAAGCCCTTAGCCCTAAGGCCCTTGGAGCAAGCAAGAGAGGAGACTCCCATTTCCATAAAGTGAGCTTAGAGTCGCTGCACCTCGGTGGGCACTGAACCACACCAGAAGAGCAGTTCTCCTGTGATGCAGTTCAGGAAGACTGCCTTCTTGGACACAGATGCCTGGTATTTCCCCTGCCAGGTTAAGAAGCCGCAACGCTTGCCCTGGTAGGGAGGATAATTCCTTTATATGACACAGATGTGCTGGTGGTACCTCGGGCTGCCTCATTCTCGAGTGGCGGTGCACAATCTGTAAGAGTGTGGGAGCTGCTGGACTAGGTGACCCCTGGAAGTCCCCTCCAGCCCCAGTTCTGCATGATTTCTGATATCTCCCTCCCAGACCCTTCCTCCTCCCAAGCCTGCTGGCTTTGGGGAGCAGGGGAGGGGGGAAGGATGAGCCCTGCCTGCCTCCCCACCCCCCAGCTCCAAGCCCCTTGGCAGGCTACACTAGCCTCGCCTTTCCCTGTCACACACCGCGCGGCGAGACATCGCCCTGCTCTCCCGTCTGCCTCTCCATTGTCACACTCCACCCCTTCCTGCTGCCGGTCTCCATCTCTCCCCTCCTGGACCTGTCTTTATTTGGAGCTGCTGGAAGCGGCCGGGCATCGCCGTGTCCCTGGGGGAGCCTGGAGACGGAGTGACAGCGGCTCGCCCGGAGCACGAGGAGGAGGAGGAGGAGGAAGGGAAGGAGGGAGCAGGCGGGGGAGGAGGAGGAGGAGGCGCGGGGCGCGCTGGCAGGGGAAGCCGCTGCCCAGCCACGGACCGTCGGAGCGAGAGCGGCTGCCGGGTGCCCTCACAGGTAAGGCGGGGCGGGGCACCCCGGGGTGCAGGGGCGCTGCCCCCTGCCGCTGCTCGTCCCTGCCTCGGGCTGGGAAGGCGGCGCGAGCCCCGGCCGGCTCGGGGCAGAGGCTGCACGGA